GATTATGAAATTTAGCAAAAGATACAGTCAGACAGTAGGATGTTTTATCTGTAAAATCAAGTAGCCTACGCAGAACTGATACGAGTCAGGGAATAGTACGAGACAAGAATAGGGCTATGGGCAGCCAGAGCAGGGAGGGATGTGTGGAGCTTTTCAACCACAGCTAGCAAAGCAAACGTTACATGCCCTACGTTCTAACTTATAACGTAGGGCATGTTAGTCTATATATATATACTGATATATTCATAGGCTACATCAAAAATACAGTATCTGACCGGTACTGATTTTGATTTCGAAATCTTACCAAATGTAATTTATTGACATAATAAATTCCATTTATAGCAAACCGTTATTTGGTTTACTGATTTATATTTATCGCAGAAAAGTAGTAGTGCAGTTTATGTTCATGAGTGAGATGGAGTCTATATCAAATCTGAAAGTTAAGTGGGAAGGCAATGAGGTTAAAACAATGCTTGGCATTGTTCGAGAAATGAATCTGGTTGCTGTGCTTGACCAAGAGGAGTCTAGATCAGAAGTTTTGTACAAAGAAGTTGAGAAACAGTTGACAGCGAAGGGATACAATAAAAGGTTTAGAAGCACAATCGTTATGTTATACAGATTCAGTTCTTTGATTTATATATTTCAGTAATTTCTGAAAAGTTATTTCTACTTAATTTTTAGACATTTGCAATTGGACTTTGTTGAAATAATATTAGATACGAACTATGTTAAATTCTTGACTAGCAGAATGTTTTCAGTTTTTCAATAGGCTTGTTACTAAAGCTAGATTTTTTCCATTTGTAGTTTCCAACAAATACATTATAAAGTGAAGGCCCTATGGTCTACTTTCAACAAGATAGTACGTCTGCATTCTGTTGGTGGGACGGCTCACATAACATGTGATTATTATGATGAGCTTGATGAAATCTTCGGCCACCACCCAGATGTTGATTATTCAAAAATGGGAGTGGATACTGGAATCACAAACGCTGTATCACTAGGTAACAATTTTTCTTTGATGTTTTTGATTGATGCAGTTCGTCAGTTCCCTATGTGTATGTATGTCATGCTTTTTTTTATTTCAGAAATTGATAAACCAAGGGATGCAATGCTTTCAAGCACACCAGAGCCAGGTATGTCTTCCTGCGCATTTTAGTCCTATATATGAATTTTCAATATACTTGTTATTTTGTATAGCACTTGAACCTGGCCCAGACTTTGACTGCTGAGGATAATCAATGAAGTTGTCACCTTAATCAACTCACATCAAGTAATTGGTTAAATATTCCCATACCTGGCATAAACAGATATCCGGACCAGAGGCTATGGTTGGGCATGTGATTAAGCCGCCCTATGAGTAATATACTACTATGAGATTCCTATTCTGTTATCACCCTAATAATGTCATTTTAGCACACAAATTTACTATTATGGGAAATTGCTGACTGTCTTTTCAAAATTGTTTTGCTTATGCTTAGATGTTGTAGGAGATGCAGCTTCAACTACAGAGACATCTTTTGATACTTCATCCAATCATGGAGAGAATCCAGAATCTGGTTTGTGTCTATATAAATATTTGGTATACCGGTATATTATATGTCTCAACCAAAACATCATGCTATCTAATTCAGAAATGTACTGATGCATCGATATTGGCCAATATTTCGGTATCGGCTAAATAAAGAATGATATTTTGATATTGGAACAAAGTCTGGCGCACATAACTCAATGTATCAGTTTGGTATCTGTATCGGCATTTTTAGTTGGTATCGGCGACAAAAGTGGTATTGGTACATCCCTTCAATTTGAGATAAGTCTTATTTAATTATATTTCCATAAAAGTTCAACTAGGAATTGGATCTTTTCTAGTTAAGTAAAGTATCTTATGCCACTGTGCAGGGGAAAGACCTTCAGTTGACTTTAAAATCTTTTTCGAGAAGTAAAGGGAGTGGGAAGAAAAAATGATGCACGAGCAAATGGAAGCCCATGCGCAATTGATGAGAGAGACTGTGCAACAAATGGGGACGATACTCTTTGCATGTGTGTCTCAGCTTTCAAAAAAACAAAGGGAAAGCTTATGTTTCACTTAGGCGTATATATAAGGCAATTCCTTAAAAAATGTTACTCCCTCGACTGTAACCAACTGCTTTGTAAAAAAGCCGGAAGTAATATGTTTGAAATACACCCCGCTCCTACTGCCACACGTAATCTGGAGATCTAATTGTAAACTTTGGTTTAAGGGTCTGAGGAGTAAATATGGATGATTGTGTGACAACAAGGTTACCCGATTGTAAAAAGCAGTTCGAGTTGAAGCATCAAAAATTCGTTTATCATCTGCATGAGAAACTGAAACGATTAGCTCTGTGGATCCAATGTTGTTGTTTCATTACATATATTGCATTGCACAGTAATAAAATCAAAACCATTGTGTTGTGGCATGGTCCGATCAGAGTGTGTGGGTATAGGCAAGCTTTATAATATAAATAGATTTTCTCCACCAGAAAGCTTAATTAAAGAAAGGTATTGCACATCAACTTAATGGAATGACTGCAGGGAGACAATTGGAATAAATTTCTGCAGATAGACTAGAACAGTTGTGCAAAGCCTCTGCACGCCCATTTTTGAACTCTTTAATGTGGTTTAAAATCTGTATGTAAATGAGCATCATGGTAGAATAGATAAAGTTAGTGACCAAAGCAATAATCCCAGATTGCTTGAGAAACGTTGCTGTAGTGTAGTAAAGCGTTGAAAATCGCCCAGCCTTTGTAGTTGATATGTACTGATATTTCGGAATGTGTCATATAAAAAATATGAAGAACTAGCAGGATATTCGCAAAATTTATATCTTTGCTCTGTTTCGTATGAATGAGAAACTTATAAACACGTAAAAGATAGGTAACTTGTAATATTAAAAACATTTTGCAAAAAATGAATTCATTTTCAGCAGTTAAACCGAATTTAAAAGCAGCCGTGGAAGATGAAACTGGCAACTGTTTTCAACTCCAAGTACCATGCCAACGATTTTAAACCGGATCGAAATTCAATGGTGTCCATGTAAACACGAGATATATTTTGACGTTCGATTGTCCGAAATACGATGTGGAAACGTTTTTTGATAAAACGATTATCGTGACCATGTAAACGTAGTAAATGTTGGCTTTTTCTCGTTTTGATTTGGCTTTTTTTGATCACTGGGATCTGGCAACTCTGTTGGTAAGTACGTGGTTTGGAAATTAATTACAATTCGATGTTTACGATGAGTCTTTAGGTATGTATCGAGAAAAAGTTCAAGTATGGTAAGAGGGAGTGACGTGAAGAAATAAAAAATATGAATGGCGCGCCTAGAATGAGTAAGTTTTGCACCTGGTTTGGGCTGGGTATTGTAAAATTGGTACTTGATAATGTATGGAAAGGTTTCCTGGTTAGGTACCGTGTTTTTGATATGACTACGTCATAACATTTGGTTTGACTAGCGTGCGGTTCTACCACACTCTACTGGTAGCGCTAGGCCCAAAATGGGTGATATCCGAGATGGGACAGTAGGTTTCACGCTACCGTGCTGGCTTAGTATACTATAGATCCAGGCTATTGTGTGGTAGACCTCGCGCTGTGATTTTCTGTTCGATATGCATTAATTTTACTTAGATTTGACTTAACTCATAGGCTACCACCTGTTTTTTTATATTCGTACTCCTGAAGTATGGGTACCAAGATGGTGGACACCGGGACGTAGTAGGTCATAATTTTATTCCAATTTTTCTAATTTTATTTCTATTACGAGTTCGGGGACTAGCCAAGTGACTCCCGTAGAATTCGTACCTAAAATTATGGCCTAACATTAACCTGGTACACATGCCACGTTCTGGTGTCCGCCATCTTGGTTCACATACTTCATGAGCGCTCTTTTAGTAGTATATGAAGTAGTACAAAATAAGGTATTTCATATAGTGATGGAACTGAATATGGATCTTTTTATTGTTATGTTTGTATAAATTGTCACGCTGTTATGTACAGAAGTTTGTGGAGTCAGAGCCGACTAATATATTTCTCAATGGGTTGACTCTTCTTTGCCAACTCCAAACACTGTGTCGAGGTAACCCAGTCTTATTTAGCACTTTCGTTTTTGTCTGACTACTCTTAATGTCGGACGCGTAATAGTTGTTCTGTATTTCATCTTTTCAAACCGTGGATTCCTACTAGAAATTAAAGTTCTGTTTTTAATTATCAAACCTACTGCGAGGCTTCGCAGCACACGATGTTTTACAAACTCGGCAAGCAGTTGTAAGTTTGGAATTCCATTGAGTAGGTTTTGAAATTTACAATTGATATGAAGAAGGCAGAGTACTTTTTGGTTCGGATGAAACGTTCGGACCGGCACACCTACTGCAAACAATGCCTGGAAATTTCTAACCATGAGTCATCAGAAACAAACATACGAGCCTCTTTTGCTTGGTGAGTAAAGTTTTCAACTATATTTCACTGCCTTAGACTGCTTAGTTTTAGAACTATTCTGACCAGCTGATTAAAGTGAAATAAAGCCACGCAGTTATCAATTATATATATATTATTCAAAATCTGAAACTATAATCAAAGCAATACTGCAAATAAACGAAATATACGATAAGTTTTTATATAAGATTTACCGAATCTGATGTCATTTATTTTTTTTTCTCAATTCTTAATATTAAATTTGAAAATATTAAACATTTTTCGGTGCTCCCGAAGTATGCGAACCAAGATGGCGGACATCGGAACGTAACATGGGTAACAGGTTAGGGTTAGGCGATAATTTTTTTCCATTTTCTCTTATTTTAGTCCTATTATCAGTTCGAAGACTAGCCAAGAGCCTCCCGTAGTATTTATACCTAAAATTATGGCCTAACCCTAACCTAGTACACATATTACATTCCGATGTCCGCCATCTTGGTTCGCATACTTCGGGAGCCCCCATTTTTCTTATGTTTTATGCTTGATAGAAGTTTCTCCCTGGAATGTATATATTAATAAAATTTTTGCAAAAAACAAATCGGACCAAATTACATTTTTGTACGAATTTCTTGTATGAGTTTCGGTATTTCTTCAATGAATACAAGTGGGATTATCAAACGATATTACGGCAGCACATTTTGCGTGTATTTTCTGACTTTTAATTATAAAACATTATGTACATTGATTGTCACATTTAATATAATAATATTGTTTTGCGTAGGGCTGATTTGTCACTGACGTGATATCACATATGGCCGACAGCAATAGATTCACACTTGAATCTTTCATCTGTATCAACGTGTTCAGCTTGATTTGTCTCCGGATCAAATTTGTACAAAGAAAAATTGCTGAATAAATATGGGTAAGTTTTGTTAACAATTTACCTAATTTGGAACAAACCTTTGGGCAAAAAGTTCGACTCACACGATCTTTAGAAGCAAAAGAAAAATACTGCACAATTTACTCAATAGGTGGAAAAGACTTTTTCAAAGAAATAACTTCCAATTTAATATTTTTGTATTGGATAGGCGATGGTGAATTGAGAAGCAACAAAAATTGTTTAAAATCGTTACCACTAACATGAACGAACATAATTTGAATTCATACTTACTCTTGCGCATGAAAAACAAAATATATTTCGTTAGTGAGGGCAATAATTCGCTTAATGCAACATTCATCAACCAGAAGTAATTTTGCAGTTTCACATATTAAACTATCGGTACCTATACTGTACCAAGATGGCAATACGACTTGAACAGAACACTAGAAAAGAATCTATAATAGATATGCACACGGAAGGATTTAGGAGTTCCGAAATAGGCAGAGAAAGGAATTCAAGACAAAAATAGGGAACCACTGTGTTAACATGTTTTCATAAAGAACTGCGTTTAATTCTTAAAATCGCGTCCTTTATTAAATAGCCATGGCCCAAATAAAAAAACAACGACTGGAATATCTTTGTCAGCGGCAATATAAAATAACCCAAACATATCTGTAATACATACACACCCTTCTGCATCTATAATAAAATAGATTTCGTTGTTGAGAGCAACAATACGTATGAATCTCCAACGAGAATCCGACAACTGAATTTGCAAAGATATTTTCGGCCATGAATTGTTGTTTATATCATAGCAAAGAAGTACTTGGCCACCTGCAGAGTATATGCATTTTATGAATCCGTGCTCCCAAGTGTCAGTACAGCGGCGCTGCAATGACCTAGTCATTCGCCCTAATATTATGGTACTGGCTCAAAAGAAAAATTAGGTGAATTGATGTTTAATGGTATGTAGAATATTAAATCTCAATCTTTAAAATAATTACCAACAAATCGTTGACATTGCTTTGGTATTTTACAAGTACGATAGCTTGCTTACTGCAGTATACTGTTACGATATGTGAAGAGGTAATTTTATTTAGAAAGACCGGAATCTTTCCTGTTCGGCGTTGTTTTACCAATTTATTACACCTTAGGTGAGATCAGAGAAAGTTTATAGTCACTTTGGGTGAGATAGGACAGGGAATATGAACCCGAAATGTGTAATCTGCGATGCCAACACAGTTAAGTCCAACGCTTCAAACCATCGCGTCGATTTTGAATTATTGACGCATATGGTTAATATAGTTGAATCATAGCTACAAGGTATATATGATTATACACACATTAAGAAACACGCTTCATGTGGTATTATACTGACGTATGCAAACATCTCGATAACGCTAAGCGTGTGGAAATAATCTTACTCCAGCATCATACCTGCGATGTATATGAGATCGTTTGACTGCACGGCAGATGCATATTCCATGCCTACAGGCATCGGCGCAGTGAACTCCCATTTTGAACTTTCAGGATCGAATACTTCGCCACTTTCGAGCTTGTTAAGGGATTCATCAATTCCACCGAAACAATACAAACGTCCTGAAATACAAAGAAAATTTACAGTTTCAATTCATCTACAGCAGTGTATCTCAACCTACAGTTTTACTTCGCGGACCACCTTTCTTAACAATTCTTTTCAGATGCTAAAATAAGTCGAGGCAGGGTTGTCCGAATCGAATATCGAAGTATTCGAATATTTTTCCGTGAATTTTCGAATAATTCCGAATGATATCCCCTTTTCGCCATAGGCTAGTTGTTTCGTTTTGGAAGGAAATCTTCAAACTATTTTCTGCGCTTTTTCACGTATTGTAATGACGATGAAATAGAATCTGCACTTTGATTGTTTGTTTATCTTCTGTTTCGACGTGTGCGGTATATTATAGTTGCAACAATTTTGCACGGTTGCGTGATGGCCATTGTCACCATTTCCTTCACGCATTTATTTCCATTACGTCATAAAAGTGAAGATTATGTGAAGCCCTAATTTTTACGATACCCAAAAATTATTTGTACTTTTTTCCGCTTTTTGACAAATAATTTCGATAATGTTAGTTAAAAGTATCGACTTTTATTAGGATGAATTTCTGTAGCGTAAAATATTCAAATCCATTACCGATACCAGCATTTAAACAGCCGTGCTGTATATTAACTTAATTTTGTTCAACGTAACTCATGATTGCGCCGACTTATTGGACACGTTTAGTGGCCATAACGATCGTTTCAATATTATGTTGTTGTTGTTCTTGTTCTTTGACACGTTTTTAAAAAATCGCTTTTCTCTTCGAATACTGGACCAATTGCTTTAAAATTTTCAGTGGTTAAAGATTAATTTCTTCGCTAGAAGGCTATTACTTTTATTTATTTCAAAATTTTGCGTGAATTCTATGAAATTTGATATTTCGTCTAAAATTTTGCAGTATTATTTTTTATCCGTGGGAACACGGATTTTAGTCAGTGTCATGACTGGCTGTACGTTTTGATTCTGCAAAAATTCTTGCTACTGGAAATTCAGAACTTTTTTGAGGGTACCGGTAGCGTCAAAGGTACCGGTAAAGACTGATTCGCTCTGGTCTAACGTGTCCATATATTTGTGCGTAGCTCTCTTGTTAAATGAAAGCATTATTACTCCAAAATCACGATGCAATCTGCAGACCTAATGTGCGGTAAACTGCCCGATTATAATTAATTTTTGATCCGGATTTTTGTACTCACGAAAAAACAAAAGCATTACTGCTTTGAAATACCTCTGCAATCTGCGGACATAAAATTTGTGGGATACTGTCCGATTATATCTGATTTTTGCTTGTATTTTCGTACTTACGAAAAAATAAAAGCATTACTAACTACTTGAAATACCGTCATCGTATAAATGGCATGAATGACAGCAGACGCATTCAATCACGCTCGAGCGCCTAAATTGCTGGAATCGATTGGAATCCTCATCAGGAAAGCATTGCTATTCTATCAAAATGTCAAAATAATTCCAATTCAAACACAAAATAGAGAAAAATACTAATAATTTGGCTACGAGTTCGTGGCCCACCATGAGTTGCTTGGCGGCCCACCAGTTGAGAAGCACTGATCTACAGGCTACATGTAATATAATGAAAAAGGCGAATAAATATTAATACATCCCATCAAATACTCTTAAACTTGTTATATATGATCTCACTGCGTGCAAGGGATTTGGTAATGTTTTTATATTTCGATAAAGTCTTGAATGAAAAGTATGGGAACATATGCGATTTAGCTTTATAAATGACATGGGCAATATACCGACGTCTATTCACGGTTTAAAGCCTTATTTACCTTTAGCTGTAATAACTACGGGGGTATTTCTTCCTATTTTCATGCTTTCCAACTTTCGCCATTCATTATTCTCTGGATTGTATCTTTCGACTGGGCGGCTCTTCAATCCCAGACCACCACACACGTAGATATATCCTAAAATAAAATATGACAATCACAATATCATTGACTAACCGAAGTTTTATCTACTCCTTTTCCAATTAAAAAACTCCCAAATTAAATATACGACATATTCCGAACTTGACGAAACATGCTAAATCGACTAATTCACACTGTTTTACAATTATTGCAACATTTGACCAATATTCTATTATTTATCCGAATTCATGGTTGAGTTTTGATGTCGTATCCCAACAGTTTTAGTTTATTGACGGTTCAAAAATGACAATTTGGTATTCTTAGCTAAAATGTAATCTAACTTATTGATATTTACTTGCTTGCGTTTGTGAACAGGGCATTTTTTGAATTTATCGAATGGTTGTTCCGTTAAGTATAATGTAAATTAACAAATCGCTATGCGATGCGAATCTTATTTTGTTGCTATAGATGTCGCAATCTGTCCTCCATTCGAGCCATTAGTTTGCAATAAATCGATCGATAAATCGCATGTATGTTGCACAAAGCAAAACCTTGTCTGATCACGTCAATATATGGCAGGATCATTCCTCATGCATATTGGCATTGAAGGTCTATCTTGTGAACTACACCATTGTGGCATAGATAGCTAATCATTGCTTATTCATATTATCAATTTTTTTTCAATGTACAAGGTGTGGCTAAAAGGAAACGGGAAAAGGAAATTCTATTGGATTTAGAAGTTTATTTAGATGCATATAGTACAATGTCCACATTGTCTAACACAGGCCTGCACAACATACGGAAGCCTTTTATTGTGGCCCTCGAAATGGTTTCATGTGATAATATTAAGGCTAAAGAAATTCACTTCTTAGCAATATATGTTTGTGTATTTGTATTGTGATGTGAGTGTCTGATACAATTTTGTGTATGTGCGTAAAACGGGAATCTACGGTTAGTGCGTGTGTGACCAAAATGAACAATTGGTGGTTTGCAAAGTGACCTGACTAGCCTATTATTTACAATTTCCATGAATATTATTTGAAAGTCGGATTTTTAGAATTCTTGTGGAAACCTTATGTCGGTTATTTTTTGTGCTATAATAAGTGTCGCACAAAAGATGTAATTAAGTATTTACCATTCATTACAACTGCCGGTGGAAAATATCCGTGTTTGCTTATCATGTCCGACAATCTTTCCCATATCGGTTCAGAATCGGGATATTTCGTACGATGAACTTCAACATTTGCCATCAGTACATAGAGATTATCGTTCATTGCAACAATAGAATAGTAGCAATTAGAGAGTACTGATATTTTCTAGGAAGAAAAGTAATTTGGGATTATTTTTCGATACAATCAATAGCATTGTCTTCTTTCTTTATCTTACCTTCCATTCGTGCCATTCCTTTGTTGCTGGTTTGTAAAAGCAGAATTTATCATAGAAAGACAAGATAATTACATTCTCATCGTTAGCGTTGAAGACTTTTGTCGCTCCTGTATTAGTGAAATGATTAATAGTAAAAGCAGAATTTATCATAGAATAACAAGATAATTACATTCTGATCGTTAGCGTTGAAGACTTTTGTCGCTCATGTATTAGAGAAATGATTAATAAAGAATCATTCAAAGTTATTAATTCTCTGAACTGAACTGTCACGAAACATTATTTATATACAAGTTCATCATGTTAAATTGGCAAGGCCCAAGTAAAGTTTTGTCAGACAATTTCACTCGATTGTTATAATTATGGACCCGGATATATTTATAAATAAACATATAAAAATAAAACGCACTCCAGCTACCTATCAATTTACGTATTTATTTGCTTTTTGATATTTTCGGGCATCAGAAATTCTGTATAAATAATTGGCGCCAAAAATTACAAAGCAATCTTTTCAAATTGACTTCATGCAATTACATTTGAATTACAATTACGCAAGAGACGAACGACGAATTACATATTAAATTGATAGGCTGGTATTCATTATGATTTCTTATTAAACCGTTAGAAAAATACTTTTCAAAAATTGAATTGTGATTACTCTATATCAGTACTCGCCTTGTATGGGTTTTTGTTCGAGTGCCGATGGCTTCATGCCTCGAATCTGCACTGTTGCCCCTTGAACTTCGCTTTCTAATTCTTCACTCTCAAGATTCATATTTTTCAAACTTAGTTCTGAAGAATTTTCCGATTTACCTTTGAACACATACAATACTATTCAGTAACTATTACAACTATTCAAAATCAGAGTGTCAGTGTACCAAGGCATATATTTTCATGAAATCTGCAAGAATACAAATGATAATATAAATTGATATGGAGAAAAGTATTAAACGCGGCATTTGAATTGTATGCCTGAATCGTGAACATCTAATAGAAAACACTTTACTCGTGACTTTACAGATTAATTACATTTGATTTACAATTACGCAAGAGACGAACCACGAATTACATATTAAATTGATAGGCTGGTATTCATTATGATTTCTTATTAAACCGTTAGAAAAATACTTTTCAAAAATTGAATTGTGATTACTCTATATCAGTACTCGCCTTGTATGGGTTTTTGTTTGAGTGCCGATGGCTTCATGCCTCGAATCTGCACTGTTGCCCCTTGAACTTCGCTTTCTAATTCTTCACTCTCAAGATTCATATTTTTCAAACTTAGTTCTGAAGAATTTTCCGATTTACCTTTGAACACATACAATACTATTCAGTAACTATTACAACTAATCAAAATCAGAGTGTCAGTGTACCAAGGCATATATTTTCATAAAATCTGCAAGAATACAAATGATAATATAAATTGATATGGAGAAAAGTATTAAACGCGGCATTTGAATTGTATGCCTGAATCGTGAACATCTAATAGAAAACACTTTACTCGTGACTTTACAGATTATGTGGCAAATATTTTAATTTGACCCAAAAACATGGTTGTCTATCCAGCAAAAGACATGATCAAATTCTGCTAAACAAGAAAACCTTCCATCACCTTTCACCGATCTTCGAAATAATTCATCGACTAGAAGTTTGTCAGCCGTTGGGCGATTTTTCGGCTCAAACTGCAGCATCTTGTCAAGCAAATTAATTGCTTTGGTTTTGTCGCTGAGAAGCAGATGGCTGAGATCACGGTTTTTGTTTTTTTTGATGTACATGTTCCATCCATCTGGATCTTCACCAAATGGATGTTTTCCATGACTCCATACCGCGTATATCACGAGACCCATCGAATACGTATCGGATTTTTCAGAAATCACATCGTCGTTATAGGTTTCCGGAGCTCTGTAGCCATCAGTACCAGCTCGCATGATACTTTGGGCAGTGTATGAACGGCCTTTGCGAAGCTCTTTCGACAGACCGAAATCGGATATTTTGGGAGTCTTTTCATCAAGCGACAGCAGGATGTTGTCAGGCTTTAAATCGCGATGTATGACGTCGTTTCGGTGAATAAACTGCAAACCGTGGAGCAGCTGCTGCGCAAACGATATGGCCAGGTCGTCTTCGAATGGGACGCGCATTTTTTCTCTATTTTTCAGAAAATCAGTAAGATTTTCATCGTGACAAAGTTCCATAACAATGAACATTCTTTGGGTGAACGGGTCTCCATGATATTCGTCGGAATGGATAATGGAAACAACATTTGGATGAAGAGCCAGCTTTAGAAGAACCTTGGCCTCCTGCAGGTTACGTTTGTTGAAGTCGAGGAATTTGATCGCCACAAGTCTGGGACCAGTTACCTTGCTCAGCTGCTCTCCTCGATAAACATGTCTTCTTCCACACAATGGCTGATCGCGGAATGCTCTGAACACGCCGCCGACATTTATATAATCTAACAAACCAAAGAACAATTAAGCCATGAGATAAGATAATCTATTTCCTAATTGGTTTTGTGCACATATTGATAATAAATGAAGCACAGTGCATATGTGCATGTACACATGTGTTAACTATTGGTGAAAGGTAGCATTGAAAATGTTCTATTGTATTTGTGATAACAACTTATCACCTGTTTAGCGAGCTTAATTTATTTAGCGATATAATCGAAGCAAAACCCATTTTCTGGGCGAATTTCGAACCTTCATATCATCGAATAGTCCTAAATCTGGGATCTGTAACCAAAAGTCCATGTCCGTCAATGCAAATCACCAAACCCTCTTTGTTGTTGTGTGCCCCAACAGTTGCGAGTGTAAATGATGTGTTTTGTTTTATAGCAATCGTGGTGTTTGAAGTAGGATAGTATCACAAATACTCCACACGCCGTAAATTTTTTTTTTTACGGGTGCGGCGTATGGGTTGCTTCGAGATGTCGTCGAAGCCGGTTGCTGGTCTGATATTAGCCATAGAAAACAAGTTGTAGTAGTAGGAATTTCAGAATACCGCCATAAAGTAGAGACTGCAACGAAGCACTGACAACGTAAGGGCGGTGGAAGAATGGGATTGAAAAATTTCTGTCGTGTGGATAGTTACTTTTGTGTAAGGAAGCTCAATATGTAAGTTAATTTGTTTAAAAATATGTTGCGAAATGTCTCAAAGCATTAAGTCTTGGCTTTTATGGCAGATAACGTTCTTAGCCCGACAAAGATATTTAAGTAAGTGACAATTTAAATAAGGCCGCGATTGAGGCTAAAGACGAGTTCAGTGGAAATAAAGAAAATGAAGAAGATCCAGTATCAGATTAATATTGAAACACGCGGTGCACACGCTTCAACTTGCTATTCGTGAAGGTTTGAAGGAAAAGCATGTCCACATATTAAGAAGCAATCGACGTCATATTTCAGTGATGATAAGGATACTGATGTTAATGTTTTTTCAAATTGCGGAAAAGGAAAAGATGCGATAACTACGTTGCTAGATGGAGTAGTACCCGTCTTATAGAAAAGAGAGAAATTGATTTGCCATATCCAGATTCGCTAGCTGATGCAAATCTTCAATAGCAGACATACAGTAGGAAAGTTACAAAACTCGCTTTTTCGCGCCAAAAATGTACGCATCACATCTGATAAGTACCGTTACGTCGTGTCAGAAAACCGCTCATAAAACGACTACGGACTGCCTGCTGCCGATATTTCTTGACCGTTTTGACTGTTTTCTACAATTACTGTAATGACTGCTAAATTATATTTCTTTGGAAAATACCACGTTTGGGTGAAATTTGACACTTGACGTTCTTATCTGATGGTGGAAAATCTCTGCTAAAGAACTGTTCGCGGTCGTCATCGGAACCCATGTGTTCACTAAAATTCATGCTAATAAGTGTGGGATAGACGGAACACAACATTTTTGAGACACCTCGTCGAGATCACAAAAAAGTAAATAAAGTGTATTTTTCTCGAATAATTACAATGGCAATTAGAACGCATTATTATATCGATAAATGCGCATTTAGCATCTAAGAATTTACTCCATTAACTGACTCAAACTAGACTATACATTAAACTGACTGCATATCAAATATCCCAATAGAAACATAAAATTGTACATTGGTTGATTGGGTACTGGTTATTATATCGACAAATACGCATGTAGTAAGTAAGCATTTACTTTGTTGGCTTAAGCAAAATATAGTTATGACTCCGACTAAATATAAACTGGCAATTGTTGTATTACTTTCAATTCATGCTAGATTTCATAGCTGAACTAATATGCAATTTATTAAATTAATCAGCGTGGCTAAGACCTCCACGCTCAAACAAAAGTCATTAAATTACACTTGTCAACTACAATTACTCTGCCGAGACATTTCTTCTAGGTGTAAGTATGTTTTTATTCAAGTATAATGACACGAAACCTTACTGAGATATAATTACTATACCTTCGTTCGAATTGCCAGTTTTGTATCCATCAACAATAGCTCGTATCTTTGACACTGTAGCCGCAGAACCTAAATATCATGTCGCAAATGTTACATATACGCATTTTACTATAACGAAATTGATTTGATCGGAGCACTCATTACGATAGAAATTGTTTTCTATTTGAAAATTTCGACTGAAATTGACTGTTACGACTAGACACACCGGCGGGATTCTTTTGAAGGGAAGAGAGGTAGGCCCGAGTCCACACACCCTTCACTGGCAATACAACCGACTACTTTTGGCTGATTTGTTTAAATAGCAATTTTTATTGTTTAGTTAGGTAATGTGGGAAGTAAAATGCTGAAATATTCACTCTATTCTCAATTTTTAGGATATTTCAATCGAACTATAATCTGGATCCTATTAATATTGCTTTCAATTGAAAAAAATATTTTCTGTCGAAATAATAAAATTCAGGAATACCCCTCACCGGAATTTTGCTGCCACTTCATCAACATTTGCAATTTTTGCTCTTCAACCGATTTACCAAAGTCTTCCACAATGTCATCGATCTCGTGTTGATCCAAACGCAGCCCAGCGCTGGAACGAGCGAATTTTTTAAAGTTGACGATTTTGGGAAAAGCTAGAACGATCTCTTCCTGAAACACGTCTTCGAGGCGTTCTGAAACCGGAAATACATTTAAATATTATTTTTATAAATTTCTCTATTTCATTATTACATTTTCTTAGATATTTGCGTCTTTACAACAATATTTTTGAATTGTAGTTTACTTCTGTGTGAACATTTGATACTATGGCATATGGCATAAAAGTAAATGGCATAAAATCGTCTTACATAAATAAAAAAATTGGGTTGAAGTATTAATGAAATAAACGTGGTCACAAAAATTGCCGACCAATTATAACAAGAATTGAAATAAAGTAAAATGAACGCGTGAGAAAATTATTCCATATTTAGTAGTCATCAATATCATACCTAATGGATATTTGCTTGCCATGTTAGTTTCCCGTGAAGGTGGTTTTTGCCTTTTTTAACTTACAGTACAGTTATAATAATAAGTAAATTTCTTAGTCTGGGAAGTAGATAATAAGATATCATTAAACGTCTAAGTTGGGTGATGTAGAAAGGTCTTAAATTCCAATGCGTTGGATAGTGGTATATATTAACAAGACGTCTCATCGCAATGACGTCATACAGTATGTATAGACAGTTGGGCCCTCCAGGAGTGTGTGTACCAATATGGAGGTAACTAATTTTGTTTGCCTATTTTACATCAAGTTGTGCAAGGGACTAAAACCTATGGACAGAGGGTATATTCACTTGGCTAACACAGACAGTCCCGAACTTGTAATAGATCTGAAATAAGGAAAATCGGAATAAAATTATGGCCCAACCCTAACCTCGTACACACACTACAAGGGTACCGACAATCAGTGGCGTAGCCAGCCCAAAATTATTTTTTGGGGGGGGGGGCAAATTTGAAAATCATATTGTATAATTAAATTAGAAATTATATTGGGTTTAAGACACCCCTTCTTCAAGCGCGAAACAACAACAGTTTATCAATAAGCAAACTGATTCAACAACTCAGCTGGCTTTTTGTGAATACAAAATCCATTTTAATATACAACTTTTTATTTGAAACAACAATTATTAACAACGCAATTTGAATAAGTAAAATACATCGCCCCGATTAAAAGTCCATCCTTCGCTTCCCGCCAACCATGCTCGACACAACTCGATTAGTTTTCTCCTCGGTGACGATTTCACGGTGACAGTGAAGCACACAAAAATCAGAAAGGCGATTGGACGTCATTGATGAGCGAAGCCATGTCTTTACCCGTTTCATGCATGAGAAAGACCGCTCAGCCTCACTGGTGGTTGCAAGTAGCGTCATAACGATCTGAATTGCGGTGTGCACGCTTGGATAATTTCGAGCGCTCAGAAGAAGCCCCTCCAAACATTCGTCTTTAATGTCGGAACTTAAAGAAGTTCTCCACAGTCTCACTTTATTCTGGAGGTTATCCAATAAATACAGACGCTCCACCTCATCCACGTGAACTGGTTTGTTCGGTGGAAGAATTTATAGCAATGAAAAAAATGAAGGGTTGTCAATAGAGGGTTCCCGAATAGAGCAGCTCAAGCCGTCGACGTATGGGAGATATACGGAACGTTTAAAATACTGGGATGCTGAATCAGCACAAACATTAACGCGATAAACTTGTACTTCGACTACTCTGGGTATTGTCAACTCTTTCAAGCCAGCTATTTCACAAGCTTCTTTGTAAATATTCAATGCAATTTCCGAGTCATTGCGTTCTTCAGCGATAACGCTCTGAAGAGAGGATGTGAGGTTCTTTACTGACGGCACACTGACAACGACCGCCTGAAGTGCGCGAGCTAGTGGCTCCATCAGTGCCGAATATCGACCAATCAAACATACGGCGTAGATAACGGAAGACTTGTCCAGAGCAGATTTCAGAGAGAAAGCCTTCGGCCGCGTCTCACTGTTAGCATCTCTCGCCAAAGAATCAAGAGCCTCAACCCTCAAGTACTCGCGAGAAGTTGCATTTGAAGATTCGGATGCTCTTGTACTTCTCAGACCATCTGGTGGGGCAGAACAAAGGGATGTTAATTCATGAACACGCGCGCCTTTTAGGGCTCTCCCTGAAAAAACGAATATTCTCCCGAATGATATCACAGGTGCTTCTGATGATTGCAACTTTTCTCTCGTCATTTATGACCAAATTCAAATAATGAGAAGCGCAGTGCACAAATATCGCGCGCGGGTATTTATCACGAATGCGTTTTTGCACATCGCTGACGTGACCTGCCATTGTCGTTGCACCATCCTAGCCCCACAAGATTTTGCAAATTCACTCCTATACCAGAGAGGTGGGTCAAAATATTTGAGGAAATTGACTCGGCAGAAACGGAATCCATTTCCACTAGTCATGTGAAGCGCTCGCACACTTCACCACCTTTCACGTACCTCAAAACGATGCTTAGTTGTTTTTTCCCAGAAATATCACATGATTTGTCGGCTATTACGGACACAAACGATTTATTAGCCTCCATAACGATATCTTGCACTATCATGTTGCTTGCTACATTGAGAATTTCATTCTGTATCATCGGGCTTGTATACTTGGCGTTTCCGGCCATTCGAGCGAAATGCCTTTTCAAATCTTCATCCCCTGCGTCGATACGAAATAGAAGAAATTTCACAAAATTTCCACTATTCCCGGAATGTCCGCGCAAGGGTATGTTACCCGAAGCACAGAACATGAGAGTCCTGACAATGGAAGTCATTATTCGTCTGTTTTCTTTTGTTTGCGTAGCATATTGGGCCTCCATGGTTGCACGCATATTTCGACCAGTTTCCATGCTTTTGACAAAATTCTTCGCAGCTATAGTTGATTCTCGGTGATGATTTGTGTCTCGGTGGCTACAGCCTTTTCCATAAGAGCGAACGGTCAAGTCTTTGTGACGTAACAATGACAATCAGCAAGCGTGACGAGACAAGATTGCCACAAAACTGGTGGATTAATTATGAATGGAATTCTCGATTTTTTGGGGGGAAGGCTATGACCCCCTCTTCCCCTCCTGGCTACGCCTATGCCGACAATCGTGGCGCTGACAATACAAACGTAAACTGATATCTCGCAACTTGTAATCCTTAGGCAGATCTCAAAATGAATGGAAATCGTCATATCGCTAGTCAAATTTCACCACCACTGACGGGTCTGTTTTGCGGGACAATTAGCATTTAATAATATTCGGATATATCTATCATATTGATTTCCATACTCACAACACAAACCTCAAATCTCCAAAAAAGAAGGTAAGCTGACAGATTTGGAGTTTTAAATTTAGTATACATATGGGAAGCATACAGTAAGTACCACATTTTATACACAAAAGTATTGTTCCAACTACGTAATGGGAGAGGAAGTAGTAGGTTCGTTAGGCCAGTGGTTCCGAAACTTTTTTTTTCGCGACCCCAATTTTTATAAAATCAAAGCCTACAGATATTCGGGACCCCACAGCTAGAAACGTTGAGCAACTTCAAAAATCAGTACTGCATATCAGTTTAATTACCCCAATAGGAACAATGTACCTGTATATCAACTGCAAGTGGACGTTTACGGTGAACCTTAGCCGAAAAATATATATGAATGAGTCCGACAATGCACCGGAAAAACCTCAGAAGATTTGATAACACACGGCATCGTATGAAAACCACGATGTAAAAATCTCTTAGACCGGAATTATAACGGTTCTTTCTTTAGCGAAACATAGACGGACTTGATAAAATGTGGTAGATCAGCGGTTCCCAAACTATGGGTCGCGACTAGGACTGGGCGTTTCGAACCACTGTTTCGAAACACTGATATGTCGAAACGGCGGCGTTTCGACCTTCGAAACGGATATTATGACGTCATAGCAAATGCAACCTGAAATTAGTCAAGGTATCATTTAGGGATGTCCAATTCGAATTTAATATCCGAATTTATTCGAATATCGTGACTCTCAAATATCATTTTTAGTGTTTATAAGAATATTAAAAATATCGCGCAAGCGTCCTAGCGCCGCCGTCCACGTTTTGATTGAAAATTTTTACAATCAATTCATACTCTTTGCGAGGCGCAATAAATTACTTAGTCGAGATAGTCTGGGTATCCGCGCAACAAATCTAAAATCAAATCAAATTTAGCTCAACTATGTCGATGTCACGCTGACGATAAACAGTCAAGAGTCATAACGAAAATTAGCCGTATCAAAAATCCGAGTTAATATTGATTTTACTGTATAATTCAAACATTCCACCTAGTTGTTCTTTTTTCTGTGCTTGCCAAGATACACCACAATTCATAAATACTGTGATGTTTATCAAGTCCATTTCACTAGAGCAAAAAAATAACTAATTTCAATCAACAAGAGACCAATTCCTATGTTCCTGTAGTTCATAATATATTCGGAATCCGAAAGATTCAAAAATATCTTTTTCCAGAATGTATTTAGTAGTCAGGTATTCGGTTATAGCTCTCCCTGGTATAATTACCACACTAGATCACAAGGATTTGTGGCATCGGAAAAAGTAGAAAATGACCCCACCCATTACATTAGATGAGGGCAGGGCCGCATTGAGACGTTGAGAGGCCCTATGTTATGCTGCTTGTGAGCCCCATCTCTAACAATGACGTAATTCATATTATCCTGGTGCCATTTGGCCGCTGCTTTTACATTGAGCAGAAACCTTCGTGGAATTATCATTATCGTTTTATCCTCTCGAATTAGTATCCAGTGCTATTCTTTTGTGGATTTAATTGTGGAAAATAGATGTCATTATACATTAACCCTGCTAAAACGCTTAAATTCGATGGGTAATAATGGTATCATATTTTACTGTTTATGACAAAGGTGTGTTTCGTTTCGAAGGCAAAATTTCGTTTCGATTTCGAAACACCAGGTCTTGACCCACTGGTGGGTCGCAAAATGAATCTTGGTGGGTCGTGAAAAGATGTAGAAAGCTTTGATTAATTATACTGGTTATTAGGATCGTTGGCGACTCGAATACGAAAAATCTTTAAAAGGCCAAAAGAAATTAAATTGAATTGAAATTCTAATCTGTGAAAGTGTTTTTTTCACGATCTTCTCAAAGGAACAAAAATTTGCTACAAAGAATGACCGTGGGACCAGTTTTGTACACTGTACAGTACAGCACTTCTTATCGTGTTTCTTTCCCCAAAGCTTAAACAGGATTTAGATTTATTTGCTTTTGAAAAATGACACTAGGGTTATTTTTAGAAGAGGTCTTTTGTGTTCATTTATCAAAAATAAAATTACATTATAGATAATCACGAGATTTTTTAATAATCATCATATATATAAAAACCGACATCCAGTGTTTTTATTTGTATTTCCTATACAAAATAGAGATGTACCGGTGTATCGGGTATCGGCCTAATTTTCGTTATCGGTAGTGTATCGGTATCGGCTGAACTTAGACCGATACGAACTTTTCAATATGATCGAGA